ACAGCTGAAGATAAATAGTCGGAATTCAAGTCATTGTCACAATTAAAGGAATCATAATAACTTTAAATTGCAATTGCCTTTACCTTCCTGCCTGTACTTGACACTCTCCTTTACTTTTTAATTTCATTATTTGTATCCTTGATGTCAATTCTTTATGGTAGTAGTAGGTGATAAAATTCCTCTTCACTTCGCTCAATAAAATCTTATAATTTAGCAGCTTTTTTTGATTTACCAAATTACATTTTAATTGAAGTGTGATTGCTGCATGCTAGAAAGAAATAAAAATATTTCTTGCAATCAACCAACAATATATCCTGTCTTGCTCCTGACTTGTGCCTTATGGATGATGCACAAGATCTGGTGAGACAGGAGATGGTTATTCATTACAAAATTCCCAGTCTCTGATTTTCTCTTGTAGGCACAATATTTATAAGGTCTAGTTAAATTTCAGCTCAATAATAATCCAGGATGTCAGTAATGTTGGATTCAGTAAGGCTAATACCAATGAACAGCAAGGGTATGGTTAGATTCTCTTTCGTTGAAGATGGTCATGCCTAACATTTGCATGGTGCAAAAATTACTTGTCACTTATTAGTCCAAGCCTTCCTGGGCATGACTGCTTTAATAACTGAAGAGTTGTAAATGGTACTGAACTATCAATCTTGCCTCACCTCACTCAGGAAGCCAAGTTCAGACTCAGAATGTAATGATGTTTGGATCCAACTTTCTTGACAAAACCCAAATTGAGCACATTCACATAGAATCCCTACAGTGTGGAAACAGGCCCAACAAGTCCACACTGACTCTTAGAGCATCCCAACCAGACCCATCCCCTTATAACCCACCAAAGCTACACATCCCTGAACACTTAAGGCAATTTAGCATGGCCAATTCACCTAGCCTGCACATCTTTGGACTGTGGGTAGAAACCGGAGTACCCGGAGGAAACCTACGCAGACAATGTGCAAACTCCACACAGACAGTCGCTCGAGGGTGGAATTGAACCCGAATCCCTGGTGCTGTGTGGTAGTAGTGCTAACCACTGAGCCACCGTGCCACCCCTAATTTGTACCAAATTCCCTTTGTAATAAAAGGTGAGCATTCCATTTGTCTTCCTAACTTGAGGTGATTGCTGGAGTGTAAATGTCATTTTGTCATTTGGTAGTAACACAAATGACATTCCATCACTCTGCCGATGATTGAGAGCAGATCCGGTGACATTTGGCCAGATTGAATTTTCATGCCTTTTCTCAATGGGACGTAACTAGCCATTTTTCTATATTGACAGGTAGTTGAGCGCATTGTAGCTGTATCTGAACTGCTTGGCTATTGATGCAACTAGTTCTGGAGCGCAAATTTTTAATTCCAGAGCGAGGATGTTGCCTGGGTCCATGGCATTTGCTGTTTCCAGTGCTTTCAGCTGTATCTTGACAACATATGAAGTGAACCAAATTGACTGAACACTAGTATCCATGACACTATCAAGTTCAGCAAGAGGCTGAGATAGATCATCCACTTCTGACAGAAGATGGTTGCAAATGTTTCAGTCTTGTCTTTTGGACTGATGTACTGGTTTCACCCATTATTGAAGATGGGAATCTTTGTGGAGCATTCTCTTCCACTTAGTCACTTAATTGTCCACTACTAGTCAAGATTAACAATGACTACAGAGGGTTCATCTGATCCATTGGTTGTGGAGCCACTTACAGCTGTCCTGTCATATGTTGCTTCCTGTTTAGCACATACATAAGTCCTGTGTTGCAACTTCCCAAGGTTGATATTGGAAATTTCGGTATGCCTGGTTCTGCTCCTGACATGCTTTCCTTTTTGAGCCACGCTAATTGCTTGATGATGCACTAAAGCAGGAGGTATGCCAGACCACATGTTTGCAAAATTATAGTCGAATGAATCAAAATCAGCCAATCATTATGAGCATTTAAAAAGTATTCAACTCCCAAATGATCTCAAACACCAATCCTGTTTAACTAGGCAGTCTAGACCAGCAGCTAAATGTCACACTTGCACAAATTGTTCACTTAACATGTCAAAAATAAAGAAACAGGGAACATTCCCCAATTCTAAAACCTGACATTTTCGACAAATATCCTTTGTTTGGTTCCACTGCAGTTCTGGTGCACAATAAGCTTTCTCCCCATCCTAGTAAATAGTAGGATAGTAAAATGTAGGGTATGCAGAGTAGATTGATCTTAGTAGGATAATAGGCACAACATCGTGGGCCGAAGGGCCTGGACTGTGTTGTACTGTTCTATGTTCTATGTTCTTTCTTTCTAACTCAGAGCAACATGACCTTCACTGCCTCTCTGAAACTGTTTATTTAGTAGTGAATTACAGCAGCTGTGCATTGCAGATCTTTGTTCATTTGAAACGGGGATGAGATTGCCCAAACTTATTCCACTAGGCCTCGTACAGCTGTTAAGACAGTAGACATTTTCATTCCATCCAGACTAATTGCAAATCCAAACTCGACAGAAATGGACAATGTTCTAAGCCATTGTGCCATCGAGTTAATCCAACCCTCCCTCACCCCACAGTTAAGAACAAACCATCCTTTCAATCCAAAATTTCACAAATTTTTGTGCTACCTCACATCTTAGTATGTGCAATTCAGTATCTGAGGTTTTAGCATTTGGGATTATTTGGATAATAAATGTGGTTTCTAAATTATTTCCAGGAAGAAACCCTTTTTTTTGTTCAGAGTGCCAGCAACTTGGGAACAAGAGGAGGCTGACTCCAGCTCATTATAAGAGCACACAGAAGTCGAAAAGAAAGAAAACAGTACATCAAACATGGGAAATAAGCAGAGCAGAAAGTCAGAATGATACAAAGGAAGCCTCCTTTGCAGCACTCACCAACCAATAAAACATGCTGCAGCAATGGGGAGATTATATGGGAATTTTTTTAAACATAAGGCTGTATTTAATACAAGTACAGCAATTATATACAGAACAAAACATATATTAATGATACATCACTGAATTCTTCACTTCTTTAATCTAGGTGTATCTTGTGCATTGACATTGTGCTGTCATTATCACAAATCACCTACCTTTGTGCTACTTTTAAACCAGCAACCACTTTGAATATTCGCCTGGATTAAAAAATGATTTTAACCATAAATCTACATCATTCCTTGATAAAGATCCATTATCATGGATTTGGGTAAATATTTCATATTTTTACTCTATCAATAAATAGTCCTTACAGAGATCAAGTTTATTCATTTTTAGATAGATTGGAGTTTCAGCTTCACAATGTCTCAGTGAATTGATGTGCCACGCCACGTTGGATGGAAGTTCTGTGGTTGGCTCACGTCAGTTGAATTCTCGAAAGATTACAATAGAAGCACGACAGTTGGCCTCAAAAAACCCTGGGAAAATTACTCAGCACTGCTGCTCCTCATTACTACCCAATGCTTCTTTTAAAAAGTACAAATATGGATTGCTGGTGAAAACACAACAGGACTATTATACAAACAACTTCCAGGACTTTAATGCCCAGGCTTGCATATGGAAATGGCAATTTGTGAACATGTAGTAGATTAATTTCCACGTTCACTAAGCCCAAATCCAGCAAAAGTTAGCACATTTAAAGAGGAAGGACCAAAAAGACAAAAAATTCATGGCCAAAGCTTTTCAGGAGAAATAAAATTTATTCTACACGGTCAAAAAATATTATATTGGTAGAAGCACCTCCATACAACAATAATTTGTGGCATTCATACAGTAGCGTTACTCAAGCGAAACACCCTGACACACTTCACAGGAGCATTGTCAAATCTAATTTGACACACAGCCACATAAGGAGTAGGAGAGCTGACCAAAAGTTTTTAAACAAAGGTGTTAAGGAGTATCTGAAAACAACAGAGAGGCATATAAGTTTCATGAGGGAATTAAAGAGCTTCAGGCCATGGCAGCTGAAGGTATAGTTACCAACAGTGGAGTGAATAAAATTCCAGATGAACAAGCGGTCATAGTTCTTGGAGTGCAGATATCTAAGAGTTTTAGTGGCGAAGGACATTACAGTGATTGAGTGAGGCAAGACTATGGAAGAAAGCAGGGGCTCGAACAGATTATAAAATCAAGGTGTTGTTCCATCAGAAGTTAATGTACAGAGCAGAGGGTAGAAGGGTGTGGAATGAGCAGGTCTTGGTGTGTATAAGGACACAGCAACAAAGTTTTGAACGACCTTAAGTTTATGCAGAGTGGAAGATGGGCGACAGCCACCTGTGCATCAGGAAAGCCAAGTCTTCAGGTTACAAAGACATGATCAGGGTTTCAGCAGCAGATGAACGAAGGCTGGTATGCCATCAGCCAATGTGATAAAGTTGTTTGTGGTGATGCTTTACATGTGATCAGAAGCTCAGAGGATCAAATATAATATTAAAGATGTGAACAGACTCAATCAGCCTTAGCCAGTTGTTAAGTTTGCAGAATACAATTAGTGATCAGGGAACAAAGCTTTCAATAAGGTCCAAAGACAACGTGGGGGAAGCCCTGGAGAAGCACCTGACAAGAAAGAGCTTTTCATTAACAACAGCAGCCAAATTTAAATGCAGAAAGGCAAGATATACGATCACAGTTTGTTGGGAATAAGGTTGAGGGAGCAGGAAGAGTATCTCATGAGCAATATGAGCTAAGAAAGGGCATGAGATGTGATAGACAAGAAGTGAGAAAGATGAGATTTCAAGGCTTGGCACGGATGAATCTTGCAACACACACACCTTGGTGGGCTAGGAAAAGAAGATCTCTATTAGGAACAGGAAATTTTTTTTACCTTGGGTGTGCCAGCAGTTTTGCATAAACAAAACTTATACTAAAATTGCCTTTAATTGAATTTTTCAAAGCAAAAGATAAAATTAAAACTGTGACACACAAATGGAGTGAGAAAGATCCCATAAAGGATCGGAAAAGTTACAAAAAGTGTTTAGAACTTTTGCTCAAAATCAAAGGAATAGATAATTTTAAAAAATTACTGCTTACCTGGTCACCAGGAAGGCTGGGTCAGTTACTACTTCTGGTCCAACTCGCACATCTGACACAGAAAGTTAAGAAATCATTGGACTGAGATTTACTGCGAGAGTACCACATTCAATTAACAAACCAACACCTTGTTTTGTCTCTGGTTATGTTGTTTTGCGTCTTGCACAAGTTGATTCTTATTTAGTTTTATTTTATTATTGAAAACGTCATGGGTATTAATTTTCATGGAATAAGGAATAGAACCAACCATTGCAATTCAAAAATCGCTGATAAAAATTCTGAAATATAATACAATGTAAACAAACTTTGATCTGGTCAACATAAATCTGCAGTTCCAACTATGGTGCATGGCAACCTTTACATATTGCATATTTTTGATTGTCTTAGAAAAAAAGATATAAACACAACTTATGGTCCCGCAACAAGGTTCTTAGGTGCAAGACAGATCCTTCCACCCCTAAAGCAGCTACTTCAATTCTGCATAATGCACAAAATATTAAACAAAGCGCAGCAATCATAAAACCCACCCTGTAGATTACCATAATTTGTTAGAAAACATACCATACCTCTGAAAGCAGGGCTGACACTAACTTATGATCTGAATATGCCCACCATGGAGAGACATTGATATGAGGCTGAAGTAACAAGTCAGCAGGGCAAGGAAATAGAAGTTTAAATTAGTAGAGCTTTCTAAGTTATTATGTCTCAGAGATGATGAATGGTATATTGAGCATTTCACTGATCATTTATATTTATTTTGATTAAGATATTTGAGCTCAACAGTAATATTTGCCAGTGCTATCTGGCAAGATTCTACTTCTTGGAGACACGAAAAAAGATACTCATCTTCAGTCAGGTCAAGCAACAGCTGTAAAGCAACTTGGCCTTGGTCTCAGCTGGCAACTATGGCATCACGGTGGCACAACAGTTAGCACTGCTGCCTCACAGCACCAGGGACCTGGGTTCGATTCTAGCCTTGGGCGACTGTCTGTGTGGAGTTTGCACATTCTCCCAGTGTCTGCGTGGGTTTCCTCCGAGTGCTCCGGTTTCCTCCCACAGTCCAAAGATGTGCAGGTTAGGTGGATTGGCCGTGCTAAATTGCCCGTAGTGTTCAGGGAGGTGTAGATGAGGTGGGTTATAGGGGGATGGGTCTGGGTGGGATGCTCTGAGGTTCGGTGTGGACTTGTTGGGCCGAAGGACCCGTTTCCACACTGTAGGGGTTCTATGATATTTTGCAGTTAGTTTCTCCAAGGCTAGGCTAACTTGAAGGGAAGTCAAATAAAGATAAAATTTTGTCTGCTATTGAGCAGTGTGAATGGTTTTGCTGCTCTATTGTCAAAAGTCTTAAAAATCAGGAATCACCGTTTTACTTTAGCCATGTGCATGCTTTAACCTGAAGGTTTGAGGTCAATTTATTCTGTCCATTAATCCGGTGAGAAAGCCAGCTCAATACAAACCTTAGATTGAGCCTGTATTACTCACTGCCCTGATTTATTTTTTGATGCTTTCATGGGAACAGGCCTGAATGTATTGCCTTTGAACTGAGTGACTTGCTAAGCGATTGCAGAGAACAGTTATGAGTCACATGTAGGCCAGGCTTGACAAGGATGTCAGATTTCCTTCTCTAAAGGATATTAATAAACCAGGGTTAGTTTATGACAACCAATGGTGGTTTCATGGTCACTGTTAATGAGATAAGCTTTTTAATTCTAGATTTTGATATTTTCTAATCAACCTGCTCAGAGATTATACATGTCTGGTGCAGGTGGGACTTGAACCTAGGCCTGCTTACTCAGAGATACAGACACTACAACTTTGCCACAAGAATCCCTAGTAATTCAAGACTTTATTAATTAAATTTAAATTCCGTCAGCTGGCATGTGGGATTTGTCAGGGACTCTGCATTATTAGTCCATACTACACCCACCATCTCTTTAATAAGCTTTCAGATGAAGCACAGAAGCCTTCAATTGTTAAAGCCAATTTGAGTTGTTTTTTTTTTAAAAAATGGATAACGTCATTTGTGCATTCATTTTCAAGAGATCGCAATGATTCTCATGCAGGACCAGTTGAGTGGCAGCTCAGGGAAACAAGTCTTGCAAACAATTGCTCTGTAGTGTCTAGGGATGTACAGGCTAGGTGGATTAGGCATGGGAAATGCAGGGTTACAGGGATAGAGAGGGAGAAGAGACTGGGTGGGACACTGTTCAGAGGTTCATTGTGGACCCGATGGGCCGAATGGCCTGCTTCGACACTGTAGGGATTCAATGATCATTTTTACTGAGCTACATCTGATACATACACCACCTACAACAGGTTGGCAAGGAAGGAGTTACCAAGTTTGATCATCATCAAGGAACAGAGAGTCTGACACAATTTAAACATCTGCAAATGAAATCTGCATTTTATTCCTGTTTCTCCAGTTCTTCCACAAACAAAAGACAGATTTGCACTAGTTCATTGCCTGTGGTTCTTTAATGAAATGTATGACTTCTTTCAAAATAAATATAAACAGCTGGTTTTCCCACAGAGATACTGGCTGGCTTGCGTGTGCACACACACTCACACACGCAAACATTTATGTACCCAATCACCCTCAATTTACATGTGAAAACTTGTTCATGGGTGGTGTTACCTTGAAAAAAGCCATAGTGCTCAACACTGAATCAGTGACTTTTGGTGCAATCATTCCCACCTGGGGAACTACAGCCTTACTTCAAACATGGACAAAAGAGATGAATTCCAGAGGTAAGGAGAGAGTGTCAGCCCTTGACGTCAGGGTTGCATTCAATTGAGTGTGGTATCAAGGAGTCCTAGCAAGACTGGAATCAATAGGTATTAGGAGTCAAAATCGCTACTGGTTGGAATCATATTAGGCATATAGGAAGATGATTGTAGTTGTTGGAGGTCAATCATCTCAGTTCCAGGACATCTCTGCAGGAGCTCCTCAGGGTAGTGTCCTAGGCCCAACCATCTTCAGCTGCTTCACCAATGACCTTCCCTCCATCATAAGCTCAGAAATGGGGATGTTCACCAATGATTGCACAATGTTCAGCACCGTTCAGAATTCCTCAGATACTGAAACAGTCCATATTCAAATGTTTCAAAATCTGACAACGTCCAGGTTTGGGCTGAGAAGTGGCAAATAACATTCATGTAACACAAAAGCCAGGCAATGACCATCTCCAATATGAGACAATCTAACCATCATTCCTTGACATTCAATGGCATTACAGCGGAATCCTTATGATCAACATCCTCAGGGTTTCTGCTAACCAGAAACTCAATTACACTTTCCATATAAATACAGTGGTTACAAGAGCAGATCAAAGGCTAAGATACTGCTGATAAATTCACCTCCTGACTCCCCAAAGCCTACCCACCATCTACAAGGCACAAGTCAGCAGTGTGATGGAATACTCCCAACTTCCCTGGATTAGTGCAACTCCAACAATACTCAAGAAGCTTGACATCACCCAGCACAAAGCAGCTCGTCTGACTGGCACATCTACATACATTCACTCTCTCCACGACTGATGCTCAGTCGCAGCAGTATGTAGTGTCTCGAAGATGCACTGCAGAAATTCACCAAAGATCCTTAGACACCGCCTTCCAAACCTACAACCACTTCCATCTAGAAGGACAAGGGCAGCAGATACATGGGAACATCACCCCCTGCAAGTTCCCCTCCAAGCCACACACCATCCTGACTTGGAAATATATCACCATTCCCTCACTACCACTGTGTCAAAATCATGGAATTTCCTCCCTCACAGCATTCTGTATCAAACTACAGCATGAGAACTCTGCAGCAGTTCAAGGCAGCAGCTCACCACCATCTTTTCAAGGGCAACTGGGGACAGGCAATGAATGTTGGCCAGTGGGCAACACGGTGACTCAGTGGTTAGCACTGCTGCCTCACAGCACCAGAGACCCGGGTTCAATTCCACCCTCGGGTGACTGTCTGCATGGAGTTTGCACATTCTCCCCGTGTCTGTGTGGGTTGCCTCGGAGTGCTCCAGTTTCCTCCCACAGCCATGTTAAATTGCTGGTAGTGTCCAGGGATGTGTAGGCGAGGTGGATTAGTGATGGGAAATGTAGGAGTACAGGAATAGAGTAGTGGGTGTGGGTCTGGGTGGGATGCTGTTTGGCGGGTCTGTGTGAACTTGAAAGAATGATGTGTCTACAGTGTGGAAGGAGACCATCTTTGATTCGAACCAGTGACACCCAATCCCACAAGTGAATTAATAAAAAGGTTAATATGATACTTGTTCAATTGGGAGCCTTGAAATATCTTTTCAAAAAATTCAATCTCAAAATTGAGCATACTACGTATGCCAATGGCTCTATTAAAGATAGCAAATAGTCCTAAACATCATCTTTCATCTCTGGAAAGCACCTACTGTCACGGTATGGCTCTCTGGAGGTAGTTGCCCTGCAGTATCTTAGCAGAGGAATGACTGTTGATTGGGTGGTTGGCAAGGGTATCGCACACGCGCAAGCCCTGTCCTGTCTTCATTGGAAGCTGTGTATCTGCACTTCTAAGCAGAAGTGTTTGAACTGTGATCAGGAGCCAGGACCTCGACTAAACTGGTAGAAAGGGGTCATTCAACTACCCAGTCAAAATCACGCAGATCAGCTCAGGCGCATGATGCCTAAAACTAAATTAGTAACTTGCTTCAATATTTCCGAATTGGTATGATTCTCAAGCATGGGTGAATGTCACTCCGCTGAGGGATATGTGTCTGGTGTTAGCATTCCTATCCCTGGGCCAGAATATTCAGGTTTAAGTACCCCTTAACAAGTCCAAACTATTTGATTAAAATTAAACACCAAGGCAAAAGTCATTTTCCAGGGGATGGCTCTCATTAATAAAGTTCAGCAAAATGAGCAGCATATTACATTTGATAAATGCACCCAATAACATTAGAATGTCAGAAGTTTAACCAGGACTGCCAACACTGAAGAATGCTGCAGCAATATGGTCTGTCAAGACATCTAAATCAATAAATGTTCCATACATCCAAGTGTAGAATACATACATGTACAATT